CGTCAGAACAGAGCCTTCCGGGAATTACCCCTAGGAGCTCCGCTACCACGTTGAGATGTAACCTGTGCGTTACTGCCCTGACAACGGTACAGACAGCAAGGCGGTCAGGTGTCTCTTTTACAGCTGAGGCACTGTAGTGCTACTGAGTCCACACTAGAACCTTGAGCATATGGACATCATGCATTGGCGTGTTGGACATGTGACTGCACTGGCAGGAATCACAGACTTCAACCAGGCACAAATTTAAAAATCCAATAGCTATGCATGGCCGTGTATTCGGCCCTGGGATGTCCTGTAAAAGCTGCTCAATCACGGTTCTTTGGCGGAGTTGCGCAAATCAATGAACTTCACTTGGTGAAAAGAAACAGCTGCAGAAAAAGGGAGACTCACTCAAGAAACACACTAGCTCAGACAATCCATGAAAGGTCCAGATTAAAAGTAATAAGCTTCTTCAGCATGAAAGATGAGATCCCTTCCAAAAGGAAGCATTCCCATTGGAGCATAAAAACACACAGATCCAATCTGTGCCTGCTGAGATTCCTTCTGATGCAGAAGCTTTCTCTTTCTTGGCTCCTGGGCAGGTGCTACGAGTTTCTTCCTAAAAGGAAGTATCTCTAGACAGACACTATATACAGCAATAAGCCTGGATACCATCAAAAATTGATGCATTCCCTGGGCGTCGTGAAAAACGAACTGAGAAATGAGGCGTAATGCGGATTCCTCCAAAAATTGAAGCATTCCATCACTCAAGCCGCCTCACTTCTGGCCCTTGCCCTTGCTGTAGTGCTTGCCCTTGGACTTGCCCTTCTCGGTGGAGCCTTTCGAAGAGCCTTTCTTGGACTTGCCCTTCTCGGTGTCGCCCTTNNCTTGCCCTTGCCTTTGCCTTTAGGCGGATAGGCAGGTTCAGCAGGACGTTTCCCCTTTCCTGAGGGCGGATTCTCTGGCTCGGCTGGTCTTGCGCTGCCCTTGCCAGGAGTTTCTTCTTCAGGAGCAGGATCACCTCGCTTTTTGGCTCGCTGAGCTTCACGGCGTCGATCATGAGAGGCCTTGATAGTTTCCGGATTGCGCAGCTCTCGCCTCTGCCTGTTTGACATCCACGAAGGCGTCAAGTGAACAAGGAGAGGAGTGTGAGAGTCGTTGTCGGTCTCCGGAAGCATATAGACATCCCGGTTGCTGTGAAGCAACCATTCGGAGATACGAACCTTGTACTCGTCGACAGGGTCCGTGGTTTGCTCCCATATCTCCATTGGGATGCTATGCGACCACTCGAGGATGCACGCGACCATGCAGTCCAGGCCTGGAATGTTCTCCCAGTCGACCGC